GCAAAAAGTCCTTGCTGGTATAGTAGAAAGAATCTGGGAGATTGGTCCCCACTCCACGTCTGTCCTGTACTGGCTACTTGGCCTGGCGTAAGTCATCACACCCCTGAGTCTCCATTTCCTCATCTGGAAGATAGTGATGATACCCTGTGCCACGAAGGCTCAGAACTCAAACGGAGCCACAAGTGGGAAGGCGTTTTTAAACCATAACGCAGCATATAAGCGACAGGCAATATAATTACTGGTCACATAGTTGGTAATAGCTTTAATACCTTTCTGCATCTCTTAATTATAGACTAATCCACTCATTAAAAGGCACCCCNATCATATACATTGTATATTGACAAAATAAAAATTAAAAAAAAAATAAAAAAAAATAAAAGGCACCCCTGGTCCACTCTTTACAGACATATTTTTCAGGAACCTACAGGAGCCCTTTGCTAAAAGGAGAAGATGGAGCCAGCAGTCTGGAAACAGAGATGATCGAGATCAGTAGCAGAGTTGCCACCCTGCACAGAGGAAAGACAGAGCTGCTGATCTGCCCTTCTCAGGATCGGGGTTGAAATACAATTTGGAACAAGTTTCATCTTTTTTCCTTCTTATTAAAGAATTACAAGCTCATTACAGAAAATTTGGAAAATACAAAAGATTTTGGCATTCAAGAGGATTCATTCTGAATTCCTTTCAAATCTCCAATTTTACAATGGGGTGCACTCCTGCCCTTTCTTTAGTGTTACATTTCCATCCAGACACATGTGCTTTGATTGCAGGACCTTAGGCTAGTGACCCTTTGCTCACGTTTTATTCCTCTCTTAAAGATTGTTTTTCACAAAAAATTCAGCTTTTTTTTTTTTTTTAATTAATCCTTCATAGGAATAACTGTGTGGTCCATAAGGAAAGAGGAATCTGAGCGTGGTTGCTGAGCAGGTGGCTGGGTTTGTTCCCTGGTGAGGGATTCGGTCCCTTGCATGAGCCACACAACCTGGTCCTAAAACTCAGCCCCAGTAAAAACACCAAATTACCACATGCTGGGAACCTTTAGGTCACTCTTTAAATGGTGAACTCACAAACTTTAAATCAATAAATGTCAGGGGTCTCCTGGACTGAAAAGTGGAAAGAGGGAGAAAAATCTGTTCCATAAGAAACTGATAACTGGCTGGGAATGGGAATGCACAACGCCAGAGGATGGACCGAGACCCACTGTGTGACCCTCTATACCTTTTGAATGTACAGCCATGTGAACAGATAGCATATTCATATAAAACCTCTATGATAACAATCCATCCGTAAGTGCACTATTGAGAGTTATTGCTAACAAGTGGGTGCATTTCTGAGCTATCATTTTTATGGATTGGTTGCAAAAGCACCCAGCACGCAAACCCACAAACCAGCATCTCTGGACCAGCCTTTGCTGACTCGGTCAGCGGCCCTCCATTAATCTCCTGCACCCTCACTGGCTCCCTGACGCTCCCCGACAACCTTCTCTGTTTGCATGTTTACTTTATCATCAATTTGAACCTTTTTTCTTTGCAAAGTTATAGCTTAAAACACTAAAAATATTGAATTACTCTCCTTCTTTGAACTTATAAAACAGTTTTCCCTAAAGGCTCAACTAACTAGAGATTTCTGGAAATACTTATATACCAATAAGTCGTCATATTTCCTCCATAATGTAAAGAAAACTGATGAGAAAGGACTACTTAGCAAAGAGTTGGAAGAAACAACAAACACACACACATAAAAAACACACAAAACAAGTAGCACAAACAGTAACCATGGCAATAACAACACATAAATACACACACACACAATGGAGCTATTTTTGGTTCTTTTTCTCCTCGGAATAATAGGGATTTAGCCTGGTGGTTCTGTAATCTGACCTTGCTCACTGAGGCCTAACAGTACCTTTTGAGATTCTCTAGAATTTGCAAGTCCTGTTTTGCTCTCATCTATTCTGTGAGAATCAGTGTTAAATATTTTAAAAATATCTAAATTCCTCTGAAATGATTATGAGTGTACTTCTGTGAGAAGCTGCGGTTGCTTATGGTATAGAAGCATCAAACTTAATAACCTCATCTCAAACCTCCCCACTCTAGTCAACTACACAATTTTCCTTGATAATTATAATATGTCAAACCTGGTCTTTTTCTAGTCATCTAGAATTTTGGAAGCTCTTCAGAATATTTTGAATCTTAACTGTCTTTAATGCTTCATAAACGCCAATCCTCAAGTTTTCTAGAGTAAAGCCACTTTAGCAAGCTTACCGGAACTGAAAGATTCTACCCTGGGATAAGTCATTAAACTGTTTGCTAATCATTTTTTTTTTTGGTTATGAATATTCATGAGATACAAAGCTGATGTCACCCCTCAGGCCCAAGATGTGAAGGTCAGATTCACGCTGGCAGCATACCCATTACCACAAATTGCATTTGTACCCCTTGCTTATCATTTTATTTCCTATAATCAATTAGTGAAGAAAAAGCAAAAATAAAGTTTGCAGAAAAGCATTTTTTCACGTCTACTTAATAGATGTCCTCAAGCAACTACTAAGCACCTGTGAGTCTCACAGGCGGTGACAGGTTCACAGGCATGCCGAGGAGCCAGCCTGCCCAGAGAAACCCACAGGCTAGCAGAGGACGGGTGTAGAGCACACAGATGAGTTCAGTACAGTCTCTGACACAAGATGCTACCCAGGGTGCTAGATGCCTATTTTATTAATTTACTTCTATCTCTGCCTTGCTACGGCCTTTTATAGAGATGCATCCAAGAAAGCAAAATAAAAAATCAAAACTGGAACAAACAAGCTAATGGCAAGTATGAGGGCACACAGGAAGGTCCACACTCGGCAGGTATGAGGTGAGGGAGGGGCTCGGGGGGCTCGGGCTGAGTTCTGACATAGATGAAGGAGAGCTTGTGGGTGGATGGTGGCAAGAGGGGAACGGGGAGCCCACAGTCTGCAACTGGCGGCATGCGATGGCACAGAGGCAAGAACTGCTGAGAGTTCATGCAGTTTTCAGGTGGGGACTGACAAGAGATGATGCTGGCCAGGCATGTCTGTAAAGTACTTTAAAATACTTTGGCAAAGGTAGTGGGAAATCATACACAGGTTAAAGTACACCCAGATGCAACCAGGTACCACCAGATATGCAAACTGCAGGGTGGTTGGTTAGTGTGTGAATTAGGAAGCCCACTATCCCTGGGGGGTGACCACAGAGCTTCTGAGCTCCACGTCTCAGTCAGCACCATTCATTTGGCTAATGAGCATAGCTAATGTTAGAAATGGTTCTTGTAATTGGTGAAATTAATGGCTTATTAAATAAATAGCATGATGAGTATTAAAAATGGGTTCTTACAAGGTAAATTACATGTCCCAAAGACAGGTGGATTGGCTAAACTACTGTAGATACAATTTCCACCCTTACTTGAACAGGATATAAAAATTGAGCATAGCCTGTTGCCTTCGCCCTGGGCAATAATCTCCAGGATAAGTCCCCATGTGGTTTTGTATCCAACCTAAACTTCAAGGACTCTGGTTGCCTAATGTTGGCCATAGAGATACTGAACTCTTGCTTCTGAAATATTAACATGTCTGCCATGCGTTAAGCTTTCATGCAAAGTGGTGGTAGACACAGAGTTAGGCTTCTTGAACTTGGTCATATGAACTGTTTTTATTGCTTGCTTGCTAATAAATGTTTCTATCGTAAATGTTTATCTGGTATTTGTCTAATTACAACTTGGTAGTGAAGATGTGTGGGGAATAGCTAAATTTAATCCACCTCAAACTTGTTTAGTGGCTACCATTATTAATCAAAAACAAAAACAAAAAAGACTGAGAATTATATGACTCCCTTGGTTTAGGTCTTCTTAAAACTCTTTGTAGGTGAGAGAATGTGATAAGGGGCCCAGAATGCCATTCTAAACATTGGAAATTCATTCTACGGGCAATATGGAGCCACGAAGGATATTTCAGTGGGGGGCTGCCGTGACCTCCTGCATGTCTGTGGCAGCATGGAGAAGGAATCAGAGGGCAATGACATTGGAGGCAGGGAGGCTGGCTGGTGGCACTGTGGGAAGAGGCCCGCAATGGGAGTGGTCTGTGTGAGGCCAGTTTTGATGGAGATGGACAGACTAGATAGTGAGGAGCAAACTGAGAGGAACTAATGAGTAACTGGAGGCAGAGACAAGGAGCACAACGGCTCCTGGGCTTCTGGAAAGGGCAGCCTGGTGGGGGGTGGTGTGGCACTGAGCTGTGGAAGGCAGGCTTCCAGGCAGGAAGGACGGTGAAGCCCAGGTGGGTGTAAGAATGTCAGAGTGGAGCTGGGTAGCAGGGAGATGGGAACAGGATATGGCCATTGGAAAAGACCTCTTATGGTGGTGCTGCTGCTCACATTTCATGTCTAGTACTGTCCTGGAATGTTCTCAGCAGAATTGGGGTCTGCCCTGACTTCCTATCCCTGACTGTGACAAGTGTGATGCTCTCACGTAGCAGGCGCAGAAGCAGCACAACCTGGGCCACCTGCAGCTACAGTGACAGCTGAAGTGCTTTGCATAAGGAGCAACCCAATCAGGGAGGATCACTCTATATTGTGACAGGGCATCTCAAAGACTAAGTGACCTGGCAGAGCACTGTGGAGCAAACAAAGGGCATGGACAACACCTTCAAGCCCAGACGTGATTCGGACAGTGGTTCCAAGACAGCACAATAAGTAGAAGAAAATTATTTTCCTCTGACAAAATGCAGGATGAAATACTAAAAATAATGGAAACTTCAGACTAATTTTGCAAATGTTGGGCAAAATAATAAAAAACACAAAAATTGGGAAGCATCTAAATCAAAATTCCCTTTGAACATTTGAACATGTCTGTGATTCTTTTCATTTCTAATACTGACAATTTTTATTGGGGTATAATCCTAGTACTCATATATTTGTATATAAAGTTTTGCATTCTTTTTCTGAAACCTCGTAAGAGCAACAATAACCATGAAAATACCTTCTGTTTATCATAAAAAATGGCACTTTGCAATTTTGTAAAACCCATGGATAATTATCTAATTACATAAGAAAGTAAGTAAATACAAGGGGAGTTGAAGGGGAGTCTGCAGAAACTATAGCAATTTGTCCTCTACCTTGGGACAAGACTGGTGACAAAGTAGCCCAACCACACCGTGTGGGACAGGACGAGGTTCTCCTCCTTACCTGACAGTCCAGGAGCAGCTTCTGGACCGAGATCACATTTTCAGGTTTCTGTAAAATTTTCAGTCTCTCTTCCTGTGCCTCCATCCAGCTGTTCAAAACCTGTATTTTGTTCTCATTCTCAGTGATACTTTCTAAAAGTTGTTCTAAATGCTGTATCTATAAGTGATGAGTAGAAAAATTATTATGAAATATTTTTCTTATTTTAAACTACATGCTTTAAAATGTAAACGCCACAATATGTTATTTTTAAAAGAACTTTGTTTCTTTTCAAATTTCTAATGTTTCACATAAAAAGATACCCCAATAGCTTTTGGAATAAAGATTCATAAGTCAGGAAATGGAGTTAAAATTCCTGTTTAAAGAAAACTCACATTTAAAGTGAAAGCTAATCTGTGAGAAAAGTGGCTGATGTGGAATTTCATAACATCTTACAAAACAAAGTCACACTGCTAACGTTCAACATCTATTCATATATGTAAAGCTTAAGAAAATTTTCTTTCCCCAGACACTCTTCATTAGAGTTGCTTAAATATTATATCAATATCAACAATATCACAAGTAATTTATCAACTGAACAAAATTATTTTTAATGTCTGTCATTCTTTTCATTTCTAATACAATTTTTATTATGGTATAATCATAGAACTCATATTTCATATGTAAAGTTTTATATTCTTTTCCTGATACGTGTCATAAGTACTCACTTTGTTAATATATATGTTAATATAAATTTTAAAAGGCTGCCCAATATTTCATCAAATAAACACAGTATAATTTGATTATTACTCTACAGTTGGAAACTAGGGCGTTCTACATTTTCACCAGTGTAAATAATGTTAAACTGAACTATTTGTATACAATTCTGTTCTTTTTGAAAGACTATCTACTTAAAGTTAAATGTGTAAGAAGTGGACTGCTGGGTTAAGAGATAAGATAATTATTAAGGTTCTTTAAATTTTCCAAATGCTTTCCACAAATATTTAAGCCATTACCAGCAATGTATGAATGTGATAGCCTCGGGATTTTATCTTTATCTTATTAGATTTTTCCAGTTTAATAAGTATATATTCTGTAATGTTTATTTTGAATATCTGATAGTTGAAGTTGATATCATTCCATGTTTATTTGCTAACTATAATTTCCTCTCATGAACTGTCTGCTCATGTTCTTTGTCCATTCATGTACTTGAATCCTAATTGCATAAATTCATTTGCATGCATTTTCTACACAGACAAAGATCAACCAATTGTCCCTACCAGTATATATAAGTATTACATTTTTTTCAGGAATAAGTGTTCTTAATCTTTTCAAGAGTTGGAGAGTGAAAAATCTACCAAAAAAATCACATGTATTTTTCTCCCTTTTTATAATCTTTTCAAAGCTGAAATAGCTTTGCCCCTTCTGAATATCTACTTTCACAGAAAATGTCAAAATCTCTGACCATTTAGTAGCCTGACATAATACATGACACCTGCTGAAATAAAATTTCTCCACTTGCCTAACTCAATTTCCCACTAAGAAATCTCAATAAAAATATTAGAACTATTTTCGTACTCTTTTATATGCAACAGTGGAGCATGCAAAAACATAAGATTTATAAAAGGGCTGTAATTGAGATGATTATTAGGCTTAACTGTACATCAACTATCCAAATGTCTTTTTAAATTTTCAGACAGTGTTACTTCACACAGGTAAATCCATCCATCCCACTGTGACCCAGGAGCACACCTTTCTATTCAGTGTTCCGTGTACTCGGTGCCACTGGCGGTTCATCTCCCCCAGGTGTTCTGCAAACTCCGTTCTTTCATAGCGCTTGCTTTCTACATCACAGGTGCTTAACTGAAGTAAAGACTGGTTAACAAAGTCAACGATCCACTGGTTATAGTCCATTTCCATTCTGAACTCCTAAAACAAACAGATAGGCAAAATAAAACACCTAAAGCTGAATGGAAGTTGGTTAGATGCACTGGATTTCCCCTTTCATGCACTCTAGGGGGCACCAAGCTCCCATCCATTAATCAAGGGGCACCTGCCAGGAATTCCGTTCCACCCCCTACCCCCCATCAGGAGTCTGCTTTATTTAAGCGGAGATTCTTCTGTGGAATTATGCATTCCTGAGAACACAGACTCATAGCTTTCAGACAGACTGAAAAGTCAAAGGGAGCACTGTGTATGGTAGCTGCCATCATCTGAACTGAAATCAGGAGCCAGGGTCCAACAGGAGGCTCCTGTGAGAGTCAGCTTGAGAGCTACGCTGGAATCTGTGCCACCGGAAGGGCTCATGGAAACAACTAGATGGGAAGTATAAAGTCCAGGCTCTCCCAGAAAACCCAGGACACCTTTAAGGAACTCTGCCAATTTAGGCAGCTTCTCTGTTCCTTTGGGGATAGTCTAGACCTCCCAGGGCAGTTTCGATGGCTTAAAGTGCTATAGTAATCCTAAACCCACCCAGGGCCAACCACGTTTCTGTCAAGCCTGGGTTTTTTCCTGACAAGTGCTAGAACTTATCCCTATGGGGACATCCAGGGAGAGAACCATGTGGTATGTTCTAGGTTATTAGATCCTATGAGAATATACCCATTTCGACCTTTTAAAGATTCTACTACTCACTGAAGTTAGGATATGATAGTTTATAAAAACAAAATCCTCTGCTAATATCATGCTTGGGATGAAGCCATTCATGTTCTGTCTACCAGAGGCTAGCCCAGCCAGCCTACGAGGCCTCTGAAAGCATCCACCAGGCTCATCACTCATCCCTGTATGCCTAGCACACTGCCTGGCACCCAATAAATGTTTGTGTGTGGCTTGTTAACTATTGATTAAATCTACTCAAAATTCAATATTGTGGAGAAGGGTGTCTATTTGTAGAAGGATATCAACTTATTCTTGCTCACTCTCTTACTCAAAGAACATTTATTAACATCTGTTGGATGTCAGGTATTGGACTAGGTGTGCTGCTTCAGGGAGGTGAAAGATAGCCCCTGCCCTCAAAAAGCTTAGTTAAGGTGTAGAACAAGCAAGTAAACAAATAATTATAAAACTCTGTGGTCAGAACTATTGATAGCATCATGGAGACATCTGATCCAGGAAAGTCATTCAATCCAGTGGGGAGAGCCAGGGGTGGATTTCCAAATGAGGAGACACTTGAGCTAACTCTTGAAGGATGACTAAGAGGATCCACACAGCGGAAAGTAGGGCACTGGCATTCCAGGCTGAAGCACGAGGAAGGAGAGCAGCGAGCAGTTGAGGCATCGAAAACCATGTGGTCTAGACGGAGTCTAGGGTTTACGCGGAGGAGTGGAAAGACGAGGCTGGGGAGATGAAGAGGGGCCAGAGACTGTGAAAAGCTTGGACTGTCCTGCAGTGTTGGGAGCTAGCAAAGGATGTGAGTGGAATAAGAGCAAGAACCCTAACTTCTCTCTCTAGAGCCATTCACCACCCCATTCCCAGCACCCGGAATTAGTTTTTCTAAATTGTATCCTCCATGTCTCTTTGTCTAGCATTTCCCCTCCAACTGATTCGCTTTTTTATTTATGAAAAGACTTCTGCTCCTTTTGTACAATTACCTTATACTTCCGAAGAAGATTTTTAACGTGAGATGCAGAACTTAGTGAATGCACAGAGTCTTCATCTTCAGTTTGATGCTCCACATTGTTCATCCAGCTAATCATTTCTGTGATTGCTTTACGAGATGGCAATTTCTCCATCTGAAGCTACAAGGACAAAATGATTTCCATTTAATTGCCTACAGTTAACAAAATGAATCAGAGCATTACTAAAGATGATATCTGGTTTGATAAAAGGTCTTGCTACATAATTATGCAGGTTACTCACAAAAACAAACTTAGCATTCAAGCTTAGAATAAGTGACCCCACAACAATGACAATGACCTTCACACGAACTAACACAGTGGCACAGATAAACTGGGAGAGAAAGTAATTAAGCCTGATTTCTCTCTTAAGAAAGATCCCACTGGAGGAGAGTCCAGTAATTAAGATCTGTATTCAGTGGTGCCAGAGAAAAATAGGTAGTGTCAATGAAAATTATTGAGTCAGAGAAATAATTTTAAAAGAGTTCTGAGCTAACAAGTGAATGCTAATTCAAATGCTGGCTCTTTAAATACTTACCTGGTGAAGTTTTTCTTGGATATCTGGAAGTTGAGTTATAAGCATTGTCCATTTTTGTTCAAACTGTGCTAATGAAGATCTCAGAGTAGCTGTATCAGCTTCTTTCAGGTGAAGAAGTTGGTTCCCAGTACTTATAACTGCAGTCTTCAACGAGGACTTTTCATCAACTTCCTTCAAAAACTCCTAGAGGAAAGTTTTAAAATTCAGAAACTTTTAAAATGTAAATTTAGCACAGGGTAACTAATAGAATAACTGGTTAGAGCTCAAAACTAAACACAGTAAATATTTCAAGGTGTATATACACACACACACATTTACACACACACACACACACACACACTCACTCACATACACGTATATTTTCCCACTAAGTGTCA